ATAAATCTGAGTCCTGACACATGCCTGGGTTGTGGGCCAGATCACCAGGTGGGGGTGTGCAAGAGGCAACCAATCGATAATTGTCTGGCACATCATGTTTCTCCCTCCCTTCACCTCTCTAAAAATATATAAAATATCTTTAAAAACATTTATAGAAACAAATAGGTTGAAAATAAAAAGATATAAAAATTTTCCACACAGATAAAAACAAAGAGAGCAGGACTAGCTAAAATACTATAAAACAAAAAGAAACCTGAAACACTGTTACAAAAGGAAAATGTGATCATAAAATGAAAAAGAAGTTAATTCAACAAGAGGATGACAATTTTAATTACTATGCATCCAACCACAGACACCTAAGTATTTTTAGAAACCTACAAGATCTAAAGCCAGAAAATGCAACACAACAACATTAAACAACTTACACATTCCCCTTTCAACAATGGGTAGATGTAACCGATTGAAAGTAATAAAGAACTAATGAGACATCTGGTCAAGATGGAGTCTAAGCAGACATGCCTCACTTCTCAGCCAACCCAAAGAGAATCACAACTATATCTCAAAACAAATAAAAACCTCAACTCTCAGAAAATCAGGCTGTATGGAAGTCCCACAATCAAGGATTTAAAGAAGCCACATTCATCCCAACAGGTGCCTTTTACAGGGATTCAAAGCAGTGCCACCTAATACTCAGAAACACACACAGGGAGGCTGCAAAATTGAGGAGAAACAAAGAATTATCTCCCAAGTGAAAGAACAGAACAAAACTCCAGAAAAGCAACTAAATGAAATGGAAATAATCAACCTGGCAGATGCAGACTTCAATACATTGCTAATCAGGATGCTAAAGAACTCATTGAGTTCAGCAACAACATAAAGGAAGAGATGATGGCTACACTAAGTGAAATCAAGAAAAGTCAACAGGGAACCAACAGTGCAGGAAAGAGCTGGGATTCAAGTCAAGGATTTAGACACAAAGAAGAAATAAATATCCAACCAGCACATGAAAAAGAAACAAGAATTCAAAAGAACAAAGGGAGTATAAGAAGTCTCTAAGACAACTCCAAACAGGCAAACATCCGACTAATAGGGATGCCCAAAGGAGAAGAGAAAGAGCAAGAAAGTGAAAAATCAGTTGAGACCCTCCACAGGAGGCCTATATACCGCTGCAGCCATGTCTCTAGTGATTCCTGAGAAATTCCAACACAGCTTGTGAGTACTCAACACCTATACTGATGCACGATGGAAAACAGCCTTTGCCATCACTGTAGTTAAGGGTGTGGGGTGAAGATATGCTCATGTGGGGTTGAGGAAAGCAGACATCAACCTCACCAAGAGGGCAGGAGAGCTCATAGAGGATGAGGTGGATGGGTGATTACCATTATGCAGAACCCACCTTAGTACAAGATTCCAGACTGGTTCTTGAACACACAGAAGGATGTGAAGGATGGAAAATACAGCCAGGTCCTGAACAATGGTCTGGACAATAAGCTTCATGAAACCCCAGAGCAGCTGAGAAAATTCAGCCCACAGAGGGCTGTGCTACTTCTGGGGTCTTTGTGTTTGAGGCCAGAACACCAAGACCACAGGCTGCTGGGGTCAAACTGTGGGTGTGCCCAAGAAGAAATAAATCTGTAAGCCTTGTCTGTTAATAAAGTCTATACACATACAAAATCAAAACTTATTTGAAAATACAATGAAAGAAAACGTCCTTAGTTTGGTGAAAGAAACAGACATACAAGCACAGGAAGCACACAGAGTCCCAAACAAGTTTGACCCACAGAACACCAGAGCAAGATATATAATTAAAATACCAAAAGTTAAAGAGAGACACTTAAAAGCAGCAGAGAAAAGTAAAGTGTTACCTACAAAGGAGTGCCCAGAAGACAATCAGCTGATTTCTGAAAACAAACTTTGCCGGCAAGAAAAGACTGGCAAGGAGTGTTCAGTGATGAAAAGCAAGGACCTACAACCTAGATTAGTCTATCCAGCAAAGCTATCATTTAAATAGAAGGACTGATAAAGTGCTTCCCAGACAGTGTAAAGCTAAAGGAGTTCATCATCATTAAGCCCTTGTTACACGAAGTGTTAAAGGGATTTATTTAAAAGATCAAAACTATGAACATTAAAAAGGCAACAAATTCATAACTATCAACAAATGAATTGGAAACAATACAAAACAAATAAAAAAAAACAAAGGAAACAACCAGAGTAGGAACAAAATCATAGGTATGGAAATAATTTGGAGGGTTATCAGATGGAAGGGAGAAGGGGAAAAATATGCAGTGGTTAAAAAGCATAAAGGGTAGGTACAAAATAGACAGGGGGAGGTTAAGAATAGCATAGAAAATGGGGAAGCCAAAGAACTGATATGCATGACCCATGGACATGAAATGATTGGGTGTGGGAATTGCTGGATGGAAGGGTACTGGATGCAATGGGGCAAAGGTGGAATAATTGGAACAACTGTAGTCAAATAAGCAATAAGGGAGTTATTGCTCCCTTGAACACGACCTACACAATTTTCCTTGTATACAATACAACCTAAAAAGTATATGTGTATCCCTTTTTTTACATAAGACCTATGTAAAAAAATATAAAAATTCAAACTTTCTGTAGGATTTAGTGACACACCAGGACACACTTGAAAAACACGTCAATAAAAGACTGTAAAATACAAGCAACAATATAAACAAGCATGTGAGTAAACTTAAAGCTAAGGGCTGCAGATGATCTTAGAGTTTAATAGGAGACTGAAGTGTGCCTGCAAATGACCTGACACCTGGTATCTGCTTAGGGGACATAGCTGTGCCCATAGTTATTGCTCCCTTGAACATGACCTACACAATTTTCCTTGTATACAATACAACCTAAAAAGTATATGTGTATCTCTTCAGTAACTGGGAAAATCAGTGTGACTTACGACTAGTGATAAGTTACCATGAAAATGCAATGATGTCAAAATAATGCTCAAGTCCCAGGTAACTTACAAGGGCTGCTGAGGGCTGCTCTATGTGGAAAATAGATAATCAGAAACACTTAGAAGGGCTTTTGAGATTCAGCACTAATCCAAGTCATTCTACTGATAGCAGTGAGGAGGAAACAAGGGGAAAGAGGTCAATTTTCAGACACTGTCTACGCCTGCCACCTGGTGACTTCAGATGCATTGTGTTGTTAGGAACATATCATAAGATCAGATTGCAAACATCACCAAGAATGCTCCACATTCATCTTGTTCTCAGTAAAAGCAATCAGCCATAACAATTCTAATAAGGCCGTGTAGACATATACCCAACCTGACTTGGCCGATTGGCCTATCTCGAGCAATCAGGAGAAGAATCTCACTTTGTTCAGAAGGACTTGTGTCTAACGAAACATCTCTGGTGCAGACAGAGGGAGGTTGGAAAAGGGAATGTCACTGCTAAAAACAGTCAGGGCTGCAGGGAAAACATGGAGAGCCTCAATTCCTCATCCAGCCAGCACTTGACAGAGTAGCAGGGGTGTCCAACCTTTTGGAGTCTCTGATCTAAACTGGAAGCAGAGTTGTCTTGGTCCACACATTAAATATACTGTAACACGTAATCACACACACACACACAAAATCTCATAATGTTTTAAGTAAATTTACAATTCTGTGTTGGCCCACATTTACAGCCATCCTGGGCTACATGCAGCCTACAGGCCACAGAGTGGACACCCAGAGTACAAAATCAAGAGGACAGTTTCCTGTATGAAGAATAAATGAACACTCCACTAAGTAGATAACAATACGATAGGTCTCCAGCATCACTTCTGAATATTTCCCAGGTATCATATCAACCTATCCTCAAGGACAGGTTGCAGAGTGCCTATCAGCAACGTACAAAAAATACTTGAAGTGTCAGAGTGGATAATATTCACCAGCGTATAATATCCTAGCCTGTTATGCAAAAGATAAGTAAATGTGCAGAAAGACCCAGCCGAAAATCACTTGGGCCTCATTAGTGCTGAGCTGTGCATATTAAGCTTGAAAAGGAGGCAGACAAAACACAGATAAGGCTCAAAGTAGTTTCCCCTGGAGAGACAAATGGAAACGACCCATAGCGTTCCCATGAAGAGTGTGATGCAGATGTTAAGCACCCTAAGACACCAGTAAAATGCAGAAAACCTATGATAATTAAAACAATGAAAATAGCAGCTAGCACAGTTTCTCTTGTCCCTGACATTTGCTGTCCCCCTGCCTTGTGCTGAGGGCCTAATATGCTATGGTAGATTGTCCCCAGCCCTGCAGCCAGACTCACATGTTCAAATACGGCCACTTGAATCTGACAACTGTCTGCTCTGTGACCTTGGAAAAACCCCTTCCTCTTCTCCATCCTATTTTTCCCAAAAATACAATAACAGTTACTAATTCCCACGGTGCTGTAAGGATTTAAAAAATAATAATGATCAAAATGCAAGGTCTGGAAAATTTTCATTCAGGGATGAAGGTTGCTCTTTCTGAAAAGTATTTTATTCTCTGGTTACTAGAGAGGGTAAGGAAGGGAGAAAGAGAGGGAAAGGTATATGCAAGTGCAAAAATATTAACTGCTTGTCTCTCCCACTTCCCTAACTTGGGAAATGGATCAAAACACAGGCATATGGCCTGACCAGGAATTGAACACATGACCTTTAGGGTTGTGGGACAACTTTCAAACCACTGTGCCACTCAACCCAGAGCAAGGGTGCTTTTTATCCCTATTTACACAGGAAAATACTGAGAAAGGGTGAATCACTTTCCTGTAACTGTATCAATGATCAATATTCTAAGATTTAAACCCACTTGCATGGCCAAGATATGGGGAGTCTAATCATTGTTTTCTTGTCTTTGGCTTCCGGGAGAGCTTTCAGGCTCAACAAATACCCGTTGGTCCTCATGCCACCTGGTGCACCTTCAAGTCTTGTTGGAGTCCAGCAAACCCCAGATGAAAGACCACAGAAAGGGCTGAAAACTAAAAGCAAAAATTATTATATTAATGAATGAATTTACAAAAGCAAAGAAGTGTGTTATAATGCAGATTATTCTAAAATATATATATGTACCTACACATTCTGTACAGCAAAAAGCTCCAAATAATTTGTTTTCCACTACTAAAAACAATTTTTCCATGAAACAAAAATTATTTGTTATTCAAGGAGTGAAAATGGGTGACATTACAACATAGATCTTTGTTGTTTCACTCTCCTATTTTCTAAGGAGAGTAGCCCTAAATTATAAAACAATAGGTGAAGTATTTGAGTACAGAATATACTAAAAACAAATCCTCATAACATACACTCCTGAAAAATGCTCATCAATCCTTAGATAAGTACAACTAGAACAATAAAAAGAACATGACAAATATATGAAAAGAACTATAATTATGAAAATTAAACAAATCAACATTTTGTTAGACTGGGGGAATGTAACCCTCATACATATAACTATGAATGCATAAATGCAACATTAGTTTAGATCATATCTTGTTAGTTACTTCAAAATTTAAATATTAAATTTCTGAGACATCTCCATACTGAGCATATAAAATTAAACTCAGATATTTTCAGAAAATTTTCAGTATCATTACACTAAAGAAAAAAAAACATAAAACATTTCCGACAATCTAACCTTTTACAAAGTGAGACTTCTTCAACATCAAAAGGCTAAAGACTTATGGCTAAGATTTCCCATGTTCACTTCATGCTTGAATCCTTTACCAGTGTGAACTACGATTGATATGCTTATGGAAAGGAGGTGAAAGATTTCCCACATTTCATGTTATCATAAGGTCTATCTCCTCTGTAAACTGTCTGGTAAGAAAGGAGTTACAATAAAAAAAAAAACATTTTTCCACATTCCCTTTACTTACAAGGACATTTAGCACAGTAAAACTGGGAATATAATAGAGAATTGTGCTATAGAAAAAATTCTTGTATTTCTTGTATATAAAAATGTTTCTCCTGCGTAACTTCTCAGAAGATAACAAAGGCAACAGATAGATGATAAAAGATTTCCTAAATTTCCTTAATTTATAGGAACTTAGCCATTGTGAATTCTCTAATGATAATGAAGGGAATGGCTACAGTTCAAGCACATCTCATATTTACATCACTCAAGTTGCAATTCAACAGCATAAACTCTATCATACTAGTGGAAGTCACTGATACAAGAAAAACATTTTTCAAATTCACTGCAGGCATAAGGCCATTTTGAAGGGTTACTTAGGGACTACCTGAGGGAACTACTACAGAAAAAGGAATTCCCACTTTCACTGCATTCATGATGCCTTTCTCCAATGTGAAGTCTTTCGGGAAAACAAAGATTAATGATAAAACAATTTCCACATTCCCTGCAGCCATTAAACTTTGCTCATGTGTGTCATCTCTGGTAACAATGATAGTTAATGCAACAGATGAAAGATTTCTCACATTCACCACTCATTAGTGTTTCTTTGGTGTGAACTCTGTGATGACAATTGAGGTAACTGGTACACATACAGGGTTTCCCCATTTACTGCTCTCCTAAGTACTTTATCCAGTGTGAACACTAATGAAAATGGAGGGCAGACTTACAGGTACAAGATTTCCCATGTTCACTTCACTCATAAGGCCTTTCTCTAGTGTGTACTTTCTGATGATTACGAAGGATACAGCTATGAGTAAAAGATTTCCCACATTCCCCACACACATAAGGCCTTTGTCCAGTGTGGACTATGTAATGATACCGGAGGCTACAACTACTTATAAAAGCTTTCCCACATTCCCCACACACATAAGGCCTTTCTCCAGTGTGAACTCTCTGATGTTTACGGAGGTCAGAGCTCCTGGCATGAGACTTCCCACATTCACCACACACATAAGGCCTTTCTCCAGTGTGAACTCTCTGGTGACCACGGAGGGCAGAGCTAGTAATATAAGATTTCTTACATTCACCACATTTATAAGGCCTTTCTCCAGTGTGAATTCTCTGATGAACAAGGAGGGCAGAGCTATTGGTATAAGACTTCCCACATTCACCACACTTATAAGGAAATTCTCCAGTATGAACTCTCTTATGAACACAGAGGGCAGAACTACTGGTATAAGATTTCCCACATTCACCACATTTATGCCTTTCTCCAGTGTGCACTCTGTGATGAGAAAGAAATTTATGTTGTTGCTTAAAAGATTTCCCACATTCAGCGCACTCATAAGGCCTTTCTCCAGTGTGAATTCTCTGATGTTCGTGGAGGTCAGAGCTACTGGTACAAGATTTCCCACATTCATCGCACTTAAATGGCCCTTCTCCACTGTGAAGTTTCTGATGTCGACGGAGGATATTGTTTTGTGTAAAAGATTTCCCACATTCACCACACCTATAAGGCCTTTCTCCAGTATGAATTTTCTGATGATGACGGAGAACAGAGTAACCAGTGAAAGATTTCCCACATTCACTACACTTATAAGGCCTTTCTCCAGTGTGAACTTTCTCATGATAAAGGAAACCTGACCTACTGTTAAAAGATTTTCCGCATTCACCACACTTATAAGGGCTTCCTTCAATGTGAACTTTGTGATAACGATGGAGGATAAAGCTATTGGTTAAAGATTTACCATATTCACCATGACTATAAGGCCTTTCCCCTGTGTGAACTCTGTGATGTTTACGAAGGTCAGAGCTACGGGAAAAGGCTTTATTACATCCATCACATTTATAAGGCTTTTCTCCAGTGTGAACTTTCTGATGACGACGGAGGGTAGAGCTCTGAGTAAAAGATTTTCCACATTCAACACACTCATAAGGCCTTTCTCCAGTGTGAACTTTCTGATGACGACGGAGGGTAGAGCTCTGAGTAAAAGATTTTCCACATTCAACACATTCATAAGGCCTTTCTCCACTGTGAACTCTGTGATGATGAAGGAGACCGGTGCAAGTGGTGAAAGATTTCTCACATTCACCACATTTATAAGGCCTTTCTCCAGTGTGAACTCTCTGATGAACACGGAGGGCAGAAATTTTGGCAAAGGACTTCCCACATTCAGAACACAAAAAGCACTTTCTTCCAGTAAGGAATCTCTGGTCCTCAACAAGTATGTCATCACAGCCAGCAGCTTTCTTGCATTCTCTTGGCGTGTAATATTTTGTAGTGTGACAAATCATTCCAGACTTAGAGAGTTTCCCCACCCTGTGTTTGGTGTAAGCAGCCAGTTGCGCAGGATATCTGGAGCTGATGAGGAAGCATTTTCCAACCTGACTAGAGGTACAAAAATTCCACGACACGCGGAAATTGCAGCTCTTTGGTAACGAGACCCTGTCCATAGTGCTGATGAAACAGTTTTGTGCTGTGTCCTGCTCCTGGTGCCAGTGGCTCTGTGCACTAAAGTAAAATGGTTTTGCACATGCCCCACACCTCAGCAGTGTTGAGCCCTGTTGGGTTCCCTGCTGGTCAACCAAGAGGAAAATGTGTCTCAAGACACACCCACAACTCTCACAGGGGTGGCTCTTCTGGGCAGACAGTGTTGACTTCAGATTCATAGCCTTTGAGACTCTTACAGTAATATTCTGTTCTTTCAGTGCCTCCAAGTTCTCTACTCCACAGCAGCAACCTAAACAAAAGCAAACCTAGTCAAGTACAGAGTGACCTACAGGGAGAAGGTTTTCTCATCATCAATTTGCATGTGTAACATCTGGCATGATTCTATGTGATGATTTCCAAGACAAATGAGAGACTCAAAAAAGCCTTTCCTGTCTATAATAATGAGAAAGTCCTTAACTGAAGGATACTAGGACAAGACGGGATACAAGGAAGAGAGGCTGGCTTTACAAGTTTTTCCTCTCTTAAGGGCTGCCTATAAAACCCTTCCTGCTTGTCTTGTAAGGCTATGTAGAGGATATGAATGTACTCAGAACAATGAAAATCAACAACAGTAGAGCAGAGGCTGTGCTAGGTTTGTAAAGAAGTATGTACATAATTCAAAGTGCAACATACATTGATCAAAATGGTATAGCACACCACCCTGGCTGGTGTGACTCAATGTATTGAGTGCTGGCCTGTGAACCAAAGGGTGGCCAGTTATATTTCCAGTCAGGGCACATTTTTGGGTGTAGGCCAGATCCCCAGTGCAGGATGCACAACAGGCAACCACACATTGATGTTTCTTATCGTCTCTCTTTCCTTTCTCCTTTCTCTAAAAAGAAATAAATAAAATGTCAACAAAAATATAGTAGAGGACACCAAAAGGATTCCTCAGAGAAATGGTTGTGGTATAGAGGTAAGAGAGGCAGGGATCATCCGTGGGTGGAAGTTAGGATAGAAATGGAAACCATTCAAAGAAAAAACTGATAATGTGACAAGAAAGGGAAAGGACAAGTTAATTAACATGTGGCCACTGGCAACTGTGACAAAATGCAGTTAAAGACAACAGGGTCCTCATTATGCTTTAACACAGCCTTGGAATGAAATTCTCCCCCTTGGCCAGACCTCCTGTGAGCCCAATCTGTCATGGCTGGTCTACTAACCTTCTTGTGATACACAAAGGACTCTTCCAGTTTCCAACCCATTGAGCAATTATGTGAAATATTGATGATGCAACTCCAAAGAGAAAGCAGAAGAGGTGAATAACCAACACCATCTTAGAATAGCTCTGGACCAAAAAACCAAAAGAAAAAGTTCTGGGTAACCACAGCAAGATAGCAAAATAAAAAATAAAGTATTCAACACATTACAATGAAATTAGAAAATTATCCACCATAAACAGCACCCTCAGGAAAGGGGAAGAGGCTTAAGACCCAAGTTATTTCAAAGAGCAACAAGGTGGAGCATAATACAAAGAGCTACACAAAATAATAGCAGGGAAGACTGGCTCAGCAAGCAGGTGTAGATTCAAAACACAAAGGTAAGAACTTCTGGGGGACCCTGAGTTTGTGCCAACATTGACTCTAATGGCCTTTTTTGTGCCACCAAAGCATCCAGAGAGCGCAAAATATTTGGAAAACCATAGCCCTAGCCACTGAAGACCCCTTCAATTTCTACAATGCAGACCTTGGTTATGGGGCAGCAAGAAGAATGGGAAGTGAAGCTTCTCATCAGTCCAAAACACATCACACCACCTACCGAGCACCCTTGTATGCATATGCAGATAAAATGACTCCTCTATCCATAATCAGTTCATGAGGTGCAAACAAGTAACTGCTTCATCAAATATCAGACATCAACACTAAGACAAAGGGAAACATGAAAAAAATAATCACAAAAGGAACATTACAATGTTAAAGTGAATTAAGCCAAAATATGGATGTATAAAAACTGCTGAAAAATAATTTAAAAAATCATTACTAAAAACTTCAGTGAGGGTGAGGAACAAGCGAATACACAAGTACTCACAATGAACAAACAAATATAAAAATAAAACATGGGGCCCTGGCTGGTGTGGCTCAGTGGACTGTGTGCCAGCCTGCAAACCAAAGGTCGCCAGTTTGATTCCTAGTCAGCGCACATGCCTGAGTTGTGGGCCAGATCCTCAATTGAGGATGCAAAAGAGGCAACCACACATTAATGTTTCTCTCCCTCTCTTTCTTTCTCCCTCCCTTCCCCTCTGTCTAAAAATAAATAAAATCTAAACAATAAATAAATAAAAATAAAATAAAACATGGGGGTTGGAGAGAAAGATATCATAAAAAGAATTAAACAGAAATTTGAAGTTGAAGAATACAATGAATAAAATGAAAAATGCAAAAGTTTCAAAAACAGACAAGATCAAGGAGTAAAATAAATACATCACCTCAGAGGCAGGTGATTTAAAATACTGTATGCAAAACAAAATGAGAGGACACCCTCTGTCAATTTTGGAACACCACAGAGATAACGTATATATGCATTATGAAGTCTTAGAGGAGTGGGAAAAGAGAGAAAATGAGAGATAAATAAATAAGAGGGTAAACAGAAGCATAAAAAATCTATTTAAAAAATAAACTAAAGACTAACTTCGAAATATGAAAAAGAAATGTGAATAGCCATGTTTAAGATCCCCGCAGGTCCCTGTACACATTCAATGCAAACAGGATTTTAGCATGACACATTATAATAAAATGTCAAAAATCAAAAGCAAAAAAATGTTTCAAAGACTGAAGACAATAGAAAGTCCTCATGGCCCTGGCTGGTATGGCTCAGGGGTTTGAGTGCTGGCCTGTGAACCAAAGGGACCCTTGTTGGGTTCCTAGTCAGGGCACATGCCTGCACTGCAGGCCAAGTCCCCAGAAGGGGGCATGTAAGAAGCAACCACACAATGAGGTTTCTTTCTGTTTCTATCTCCCTCACTTCCCCTCTCTGAAAATAAATAAATAAATCTTTAAAAAGAAAGAAAGAAAGAAACTCCTCATGAAAGGACAACACTCCCATAAGCCAGCAATAGATTTCTCTGAAGGAATCTTGCAGCCTTAGAGAATATCAAATGATATATGCAAAACACTAAAAGAAAATATCTGCAAAGCATAATATTTTATCCCAAAAACCTCCTCCTCAGAAATAACAAGAAAAATAACTTTCCAGAGCACAAAAGAAGTTAATTTCCACTCATCCTGACTTACTAGAAATGCAAAAAAAAAAAAAAAAGATCTTCGACTGAAACAAAGGCATACTATACAGAAACAGGAAACAGGAAACCATGGGAAAGTGAAAAACTCTCTGGTAAGGCCAGGATGTTATCAGGTTCACAATACTAAGACAGTTCATTGGTGGATTGTACTTTATTTCACTCTACTTACAGGATAAAAGTAAAGTGTATTAGGAATAACAATGGTGACAATATTTGTGCATAGATACACAATATAGAATGATGTGAAGTGTGACATCAATACATATAAAGGAATGGTGTGGCGGAGAGTCAAAGTGTAAAGTGTTTGCATGCAGTAAAGCTGTTTTTGGTTACAATGAACTGTTAAGAGTATGAGTTTTATGTAAGTCCAACAAAATTTCTCATGATAGGTGAAAAAGGTGAAGGGATTACACAGTACAAACTGGCAGTTACAGAATAGTCACGGGGATATAAAGTGCAGCCTATGAGAGTCAATAACATCCTACTAATTATAAGTGGTGTCAGAGGGGAGTGAGATTTATGGAGATGATCACTTAGTAAGTTACACAATTTCAAATCATGAAATGAATACCATGATGTATGTCAACTGTATTTAAAAATAAAAATATTTATAGAAACATATAAATAAATGAATAAATAAATAAATTGAAGCCTGGTTGGGCTTAACTTGTGATCAAAAACAAAAATCCCCAATACACAATATATGCTACTTCCACGAGACTCACTAAATCTTCATGGAAACAAATAAGCTGAAAATAAAGAGATGTAAAAAAATATTCTATGCACATAACAACAAAGTGCTTGGGAAGATAACAATTTTAATTACTATATATCCAAACACAGAACACCTAAGTACACAAGCAAACAAAATGAGATCTGAAAGTGGAAAACGCAACACAAGACTACTAGACAACTTGGATATTCCCCTTCCAACAATGGGTAGATCATTCATTTCGAAGCAATGAGGAATTATTGAAGTTTGAAAACAAGGTTGAGAAAACAGAGCTAAAAATATATACATAGTATTTTATCCAGCCATGGCCAAGTGTCTCAGTTAGTTAGAGCCCTGTCCTGCACACCAAAAGGCTGCAGTTTTGATTCCTGGGCAAGGGACAAACCTAGGTTATGGGTTTGATTCCCTGTGACAGGCGTGTATGAGAGAAAACCAAGCAATGTTTCTATTTCACAAAGATATTTCTCCTCCCTCCCTTCTATCTCCAACAGTCAAAATAAATTTTGCACTGAGGATAAAAAATATATATAGTTGTAGAAATGTTCAAAAATATAAAAAATGCTTTTTCACACTAATAAATGTGAAATATATTAGGCTTCTGGCAATAATACTGAGGTCAAATTCTTCCCTACAATTGTTCTGCACAGCAGGTATTGGGGCAGCAAGGACAGTAGGGGGCAATGAAAACACTTGAGCCCTACATAGTCCAGAATCTACCCAGATAATTGGAGAAGCATATATTGCCCACAGTGTACATAAGAGGACAAAGCAATCCCTGAGGAAAGAAGTGTACTGGGGAAATGCATGGCCTTGTCCAGATCACTGGTAAGACAGAGGGTCTTTTGTTTTTTTGACACTGTGAGGTAGTTTATTAAAATTTGGGGAAATGAACCAGAAAAAATGGACCCCAGTAGACATGATCAGGAGAAAGCCCAAGACCAGCTGCTGCTGTCTATCTTCCCTGGGAACAAGTCTGGTCAGGACCCTCAGAACTCAGGATAAAAGAAGCAAACTGCAACCCTGAGGAAGAGGTGTACAGGAAAGGCAAAGAAGAGTGTGCAGGGAGAGTCAGTGTCTTACCCAGAGATGATATAAGAGCATAGTTCTCCAGCATCACATTGAGGTACAGGCATCTCTGAGCCTCATCAAGGAGGAGCCATTCTGTCCTGGAGAAATACACGGCAACATCCTCAAAGGTCACAACTACCTGTCAGAATTAATACAAATGAATCTGGCACAGTCTGTTTGAGACTCCTTTTCCTAGTTTTACCCACATTGAATCCCTTGCAGCACCCACCCACCCCCCAGCAATGCCTTCAGAGAAGACACCAGCACTGGTGCTAGAGCTGCCTGCTGTCTCATCACAGTCTCATCCATCTCTCACATCTTCCTCAGCAAAGGCTGCAGAATGAGAGGAAGTGGGGTAGGTGAATGCCATCTAAACTCAGGGCCATGCCTGCAGGGTCCCTTTCTACCTTCTAAACAGTTTCATGGATTCTCCCAGCTGAGGCCTCCAAACCCAGCCATGAATGGACTTAGGCTTCACCCTTAAATCCAAACACCAAAAACCCAGGTCCATTTGGTCACACTTCCTCTAGCTGTGCACACACTGTGCAATCTCTCCCTGCTTCACAGCTTCACATCCAGGTTCAATCCCTCAGCTCTGCCCCCTTCACCCTCCTGCATAAAAGAGCCTCCACTTTTGTATGACTCCATCCTCAACTCTTCCACAGATTCAGACCCATGTAGGTGCTCACAAAATGTTTCTACTTACTTCTCTTTTTAACTTATAAAGAGAAGTCTCTGTTTGAACCAAACAGCCTTCCAATATTCATAAAGAGAATTAACCTACCACTATCCTCCCCGGCCCAGTGGATGGAGCTTCCACTGCTTCCGCTGCTAGGACCAGATAGGCTGGGGTGGTTTTGAACCCTTTCCTTTCTTCCTGCAGCTGAAAAACCTGAAACTATGCTTGCCCTTCTTAAAAAATGTAAAGGGGACAGGAGTGAATGAAGGTTGAAGAAGGTATGAGGAAGATAAATGGTAATGGGAAGAAATTGGATAAAAAAATAAAAGATCGACCAAGAATCCAGCTTTTTCTCCTGAGGCCCAACTCAGGTCCATCGACTCGCCTCTGAATCAGAGAACTCGCCTGGTGATGGGATCCCTGCCTCGTCCATGAAACTCATGATCTATTCTCCACTATGCAACCAGATGGAGCCTATTACACCCAAGAAAGACCAACTCCTTTCTCTTATGCAAATGCCCTATTATCTCCCTAAGTTATCAATTGACCACTTGAGGAGTCTGATTCTTGACCCCTTTGTGCCTTGTTTTTAACACAAAGGGGACTTGGGGTACCTATTCCCAGCTCTGTGGCATCTTCAAGCAGTATTAACTACAGGTGTGCTTTCCCAGGAAACCTGATTTCAATGCTTACACTGGCTGCCTGTGTGGACCAAACAAAAAACAAAAGGGCAAGTGGCACATACTAAACCTGAGCAGCTTGGGAGACTTACAAACTGATGGCCTTACAAACTGAGAGAAAATACTCCTATATACAGTCTGAAATTAAGGCTTTCTAACCAAAAGTGAGTCATGGCAAGTAGTCTTGTCCTGGGCCTCTATCTTCCCTGAAGAAACTCAATTTTTACCCTAACTGAGCCCATTTAGTATTTTGGCACCTTTGTTAACATACCTTTGGAATGTCAGCATAATTTCCTTTTTTCTTACCCCTCAGAGCACAAACACTGCATCAGAGCAGAGACCAAGGTATTCCTCTGTGTTATTGCTGTGTTAATTAACTAAATATTAACTATCTTATACCCAGTAATGTAAAGGATTGTGTCCATTCATCTTTACCTTTTATTTAGTATCAGGCATTTTCCTGCTTTGTTTTCTCCCACCTCACTAACCCATCACCAATGGATTTCCAGTTCTCAACTTACACATCTTCCTTTTGATTCTGACGTATAAAATAAGTAGTAAAACTGCCATTTCCCTGAGCAGTTTCATATTCTGGATATTTTTGATACTTTGTTTCCTGAAATCATGCTCAGTTCAGCTCAAATAAACATTTTAAAAAGTTTCTACAGTTTGAATGTTTCTTATGTTGACACCAGAAATGGGAGCACCTTAAATTACCTGTGACCTGCACTGAAGACTGGGGTATCCCAGGGTCTCCTCATTTGAAAGCTGGAAAATTAACAAGAAAAGAGTCTTTAGGCGCTATACAGTAATGTCACCACCAGGTAGGGACTGGGACACCCTGTCCTTCTTTGTCTGGTTTGATAATGATTTTCAACTTCAGCACCCGGGAAGAGGCAATCAATCACCCTCCAGGTCCTAGTCAGCAGGTCTCAGCTGTATCTCAGCCCAGGCCTGGAGTACAGTGACCTCTGGCCAAGTGCCACCTCTTACCAACTCTCCGACCCTGAACAAGGGCTCCTCTTCTTGTGCCTCAATGTCCTCATCACCACACTCCAGTCCGTCTTCTATCTGAGAAGGATCTAAACGGCTTTGAAAACCATGACACAGCCTGTGTCTCTCTCGGTTCATGACCATCCCGGGCTCCCAGGACCCTTAGAATGAAGGTGCAACACCTCTGCCTCTCAGTCAGGATACGACCCGCCTCAGACTGTTTAAACCAGATGTCATGGCCAGGCCAGGTGTGAAGGTCTTTTAGGGTCAACGACACCGGCACCTGTTTGGAGAGCTGCACCTCCCCCGGTCACCCACAAGCGCCTACGATCCCGGACCGCGGGGCGGGGGCTGCAGGATGTGACGGGAGTCCCGCACCCGGGCTGCAGGGCTCGGCGGGCTGAGGGGCGAGGGCCCGGGACGCGCACTCACCTCAGCGGAGCGCATCAGCTCGGTCGCCGCCATCGGACGCCGCGACAGGAGAGGCGGGAGCGGCGGGCGAGGAGGGTGTCCCTGGTCCTGGAGTTACTGTCCCAACCCTGACGCCGGACCCCCGGGCAGCGTCCTAGGCCTCACAGCTCTGTGGGGTGCAGCACACTGGCGCCTTCTCCTTTCGACCCAGTGACCAACAGACGCAGGATGGGTAACAGCAACTGTGAGAAGAGGAAATGCCCGCCAAGAAACCGACGGAAGTCCCGCCCTAGAGTAGGGCCCCAACGGAAATGCCTTTTCTGAGTCTTTATTGACTCAACCTGGCGATGTTCCACCCTGCCTTCTGGGTAATGTACGGGTCCAAGGTTGGGATCCTGTATTTCCCGAGTGGACTCCAGGTGTGGATTTGCGGGTTAACACCCCACGAATACCCTGAGAATACTAAATCCGCTCCATAGCCTCCCCGGTGGACATCATTTCTTGGGCGAGGAAGTGTCTGGTTTCTTGCTTGCTCTAGTCCCTAATGCTCTCTATATTCTGCATTAGTACGACCCACAATGCAAACTAAATTTACTAAATAATACATTAAATATTAAGTGCATTTGTGTCTGGGCAGCAGTGTGACTGAATTCCTCATTAATTTGATCTGATGAGGTGTCTAATTTACATTACACATTTTTTTTTCAAACAATGGAGTACATGTTGAAAACATCAAAGACATGCCATTTCAGGAATTTGGCCCAGAAAGTGCATATAAACTTCCAGACCAACCAACTGAATATACTAATAAAGCTAGTCACACTAATTTGTTCCAAAGTACAGATTGTAGTCTTTTAAAAATGTAATAATACTAGGTGAAAATTAAAAATATACATAACTTAATTTAAAACTATTTTATTGATTAAAACATTTAAACCATTATATGAGCCCTTGTTGAGTTGCATGCAATCTTTTGCTGGTGGGGTTCTTGCCTTTCTGTTTATGAAAATGCATATTCTCTGAAGCTCAATAAAGCACATTGCAGTAAAGAGGGTATGTCCATGTTAGCAAATCTGGGAAACAGAGTAATAACCTAGTTTCCCCATCACACATATGAAAAAATGTCACAGGAATATAGGACAAGCCATTGAAAAATGGAAAAATATGAATAATATAAGCATTAACCAATGAATGCATAAATAAGTGGAAAAACAGTTCTCTTTCCCTCTCTTAAAATGAATACATAAAATTTTTAAAAATTATGGGTATGCCTACATACGGTAAAAATTTAAAAATCAATAGAAATTCTGTAAAAGGCTTTTTCCTTTTTTTAAAAAAATGATGTACACTTTTTCCTGTTTCTGATTGCACGAAGTGTTTAGGTTGCTGTATCAAATCATCTTTCAAATCTGGACTGCCTGAGGTCACTGCAGGTTTTTAAACATTGCAAAGTTAATGACACCCTTGATGCCAGACATCATTCCCTCAGCCTATGTGGAGTCCCTTTGGAAATGCTAAGCACATTCCAGATACACTCTATCAGCCATTCAACTAAGGAGACCTCTGCTAACAAAGCAGGTGCCATCAACCAAGAAATGCATTAGTACCCCTCTCAGATTGGTTGTGAAGTCAGCAAGCTTATGTCCATGAGGAGGATGAACTGTATCCATACAGTGGACACACTGAAGACAGCCTACCAACTGATTTAGATGAAATTTTCACAGCAGAACCTCAGCACAAAGACCCAAGAACAGATAGTACTTGAACCTCCAGTCCCTGCACAAAAGCACTAAGGATAGAGCAAGTGAATGCATATGACCATGGAAAAACTTCGAGAGACAGATAATTTTTCTTCATGGACCTTATTACATCGTTTTAACTTTTAAAATATTTTATTGGTTATGCTGTTACATTTATCCTAATTTTTCTCCTTTTGCCCCCCTCCACCCAGCAACAATCACTCCCTCAAGCAATCCCCCAAGCTGTTCATGTCCATAGGTCATACATATAAGTTCTTTGGCTACTTCATTTCCTATACTATACTTTACATTCCCATGGCTATTCTGCAACTACCTATTTGTACTTCTTAATCCTCTCACCTCTTCAGCAATTCCCCCTCACTACCTTTCCTGTTTGGCAACCATCAACATGCTCTCCATATCCAGGACTACTTGGGTCTCTGTTCTTCTTGTTGCTTAGTTTGATTTTTTAGATTCAATCGTTTCTCTCTCTCTCTCTCTCTCTCTCTCTCTCTCTCTCTCTCTCTCTCTCTCTCCCCCCTTCTTTGTATCCAAAATGTGTTTATTGGGACGGTTCCCTACTCATCTTGATTCAGGAAATTGTAATGATGCTTCCTTCTGAAGGAGCATCCTTCTGTAAACCTTGCTTTTCCTCCTGTAGGCAGACAGAGGGCAGTGGAACATCCAACACACAAAACTACCATTTGTGCATGGCAAAACACGGTGATGATTTTATAGTATACTGGCACTTCACAGGATTTGGGGCTCTGCACAAGATGCTTCTTGTGTCTCTTCCTCTTCTGGAGATGGATGAAGGAGGTCCTTTGCGAGAGGCATGTTGAATGGAGAGCTCCTCACCCTCAGAAAAGTTATATTCAATTGCTGATAGATTGTCTTGTTTGCTATATTATTGTTCAAAGTTTTGATTTTTTTCTTTAATAATTCCCTTTAACATTACATGAATAATGGTTTCGTCATTATGAATCCCTTTCCTGTTTTCTGGTGTGGGTAGCTCCTTATCTGCCCTTGGATTTTAAATGATATCTTTGCTGGGTAGAGCAATCTTGGCGTAGGTCCCTACTTTTTGTGACCTTCAATATCTCTTGCCAATCCCTTCCAGCCTGCAAAGTTTCTTTTGAAAAATCAGCTGACAGTCTTATGGGAATTCTCCTGTAGGTAACTAGCTTCATTTCTTATGCTGCTTTTAAGCACTCTCTCTTTATCTTTTACCTTTGGCCTTATATATTTTTTCTTCTTGACCTTAAGGTTCCTCTTTTGTGAGGTGATCTTCATTCTTCACTCTGGATTATGGAATATAATAGAAACCGAATAACAAACTACATTGTCCCCTGCATCTTAAATGTTCATTTTCATACCTCTTTTTTGAAAGATTTTATTTATTAATTTTTAGACAGAGGGTAAGGGAAGGAGAAAGAGAGGGAGAGAAACATCAGTGTGTTAGGTTGGAGTCGCTCCAGAAAACAGATGAATGCAGCAAGCTAAGGAGCAGGGTTTATTAGCAGGAATAAGAGTGAAAGGGGAGCCAACCTAGGGAGGTTAAGACTTGCTTGGTTGTTCTTAAGGCAGGGTTTTTAAGTGCAAAAACCCACAAAGGTTAACTGGTTGGGGTGTCACAGTCTGATTGGCTAGATCTGGTTGCTGGGTGCCATTTCTGCTTTCCATTGTTCTTGATAAATCTTGCCAGGCTCAAGTTAAAGCTGCATCCTGTTATGCCAGATAGGCCAACCCCAGACCTCAATCTTAGCCAGGCATCTGTTTGTCCTGGGTAGGGTTGGCAGGCAGTTTCCCAGGCTGGCATTTTCCCAGGCTCCAGTTTCCCTCGGTACTGTTTTCCCATCTGGCGAATTTCCATTCCTCCCAGGCCCACCTAGGTCTGTCACAGTGTGCAAGAGATAATTGATTGGTTTCCTCTTGCTTCCCCAAACTGGAGACCTGGCCCGCAACAGAGATATGTGCTTTGACTGGGAATAAAACTCACCACCTTCCAGTTTGCCGGCCAGCACACAATACACTGAGCCATAATAGCTAAGGCTAACCTTCAGCATTTCAATTATGATGTACCTTTGTCTGGGCCTCTTTGCACCCATCTTGTTTGGGACTCTTCTGTGCTTCCTGGACTTGCATGTCTATTTACCTCACAGAATTAGGGAAGTTTACTTTCACTATTTTTTTAAATTTCGAACTTCTTGTTGTTTCTCTTGTCCTTCCAGCACCCCTACGATGTGAAAGTTGGGTCTCTTGAAGTTGTCCCATAGGCTGCTTATACTACCCTGTTTCTTGGATTCTGTTTTCTTCAGGTTGTTGATTGGTTGTGGTTTGCTTCCTTCTGTTCCATATCTTTAATTTGATTCTCGGATTTATCAACAATACAGTTGTCTCTATGCAAAATTGTTCTCTATTTCAATTACTGTATCTTTCACTTCTGACTGGATTTTTTAATACTGTGGAGTTCCTCACTAACTATCTAGACTATCCAAATAAACAGAGTGTTGAAATCTGTATATGATTGATTGCTAATCTCCTTTGTTTTGCTCTTTTTCTGGAAATTTGATTTATTCTTTCTTCTGGGCCATGTTTCTTTGTCTATTTATTTTGGCAGCCACCCTGTGTTTGTTTCTATGTGTGTGTTTGGCAGCCACCCTGTATTAGGTAGAGCTATTTTTACTCTGTCTTTGTAGTGTGGCCTAATGTGGTGTCTGTAAGGTCCAAGGGCACAACTTCTCCTATCACCCAAGCTGGGTACTCAAGGTGTGCCCTTCATATAGGCTGAGTACACCCTACTCTTGCAGTTGAGACTTTATTGCTGTTGGCAGATCAATGGGAAGGATTTTCCAAGGCCAGTCAGAAGGAAGGATTGGCCATGACCACTGACCACCAACTTCTGCCACCCATGGATGATCAGCTATGCAGGGGCAGGGTGGTGTCCCTGGGGTTCCCCAAGTGTTCTGTCGAAGTTCAGCTCCCACTTGTCTTTTGCCCTCAGCCACCCTGCCTGAGCTATAAAGCAATCTGAGATGGTTACTACTTGTGCTGGACTTGGAGATTCCCAGTCAAAGCCGTGCTATGCATCTAGGCAGGCTGCTACTAGTTCCAGGCCTTGGGCTCACTGAAGACAGCCATTCATATGAAAAAGCAACTTCAGTGTGCCCATAAATTGGGGGGTACAGACTCTCTAGGGATCTGTAAGGGAGGTCAAACACTGTTAGCCACGTGGATGGTTCCAGATATGGCACCAGCTTGCCAGATTTAGAAAAGGGATGATGGCCTCTGTTCACCTTGAAGCCAGATACATCAGGTTCTCCATTTATACCAACAATGTCTTTCAAGCTGCTACACTGTTTTGGAGCTCAGAAGAAATGAGTCTGAGTATGTGAGTCTGTGCAGGAGACTGCTTGGGACTCCAGAGTTTCTTCCACCAATGAAATCTCCACTTGTTTTTGTGGACAAAAGTTATGGGGACTTATCTTCCAGGCACGGAGCCCTGGGAAGGGGCTTGATGTGGGACTGAACTCCTTGCTCCCCAAATATCCCTCCCAAACCTTTATCCACCACCCATGGGTGAGGGATAAGGCTATTCCTCATCTGTGCCCCGTGGATCAGTCTGGATGGATGAGGTTTCTTTAATTCCCTTGTTCTCAGACTTACATTCAACTTCATATCTGATGGTTCTGAATGCTAGCTAGTTGTAATTTAGTTGTAATTGGATGTGATTGTGCAGAGGTGTGCCATGTCTGCCTATACCACAACCTTGATCAGAAGTCCAGAGACAATTTAGATATAGGCAAAAAAGGGACCAAATAAAACAGAAACCATGAGCCTCTGAAATTCTTTGGGACTGAGAAGAAAAACAAATGGACTCTCCTTAGTTAATGACATTGATCTGCTTGGGAGTGTCAGAGCCACAGGACATTGAGTGATGTGTGGCTCTAGAATATTATGATAAAGTCTTGAGGTCATCCTCAGAAAAGAGACAAGCCCCTGTGGAGCTTCAAGAGTATCTTCAAGAGTATACACTCAACACAACAGATGATTCTGTCATCTGAAAGCTGGTGAACATCCAGAGCAGTATGTTAGTCATTGACAGCAATCTGGCCCCAAATATGAGCTGCACATACTCCCTGTATTCCTGAGACATTCCCATCCAGAATCAGGTCTCACCTCTTTTTTGACAAAAGGCACAATTATGACATGTACCTCCTGACAGTGAGTAGGATGATGAGCCCTAATGAATGGAGGAATTTCTGCAATTTACCCTGTGACCTGGCCATTGAGTCAAATTACATCAGCCAGAGCTTCCCTGAAGGTGAGCCTCTGAAACAGGTGACATACTTAAATGATTATTGAAGAAATGAAACATGGTGTCATGGCTTTCCCTCACTCTTCTGTATTTCTCAGCTTACACATTCCTATATGTTTCTCACCTGTTTTTCTTCAAGTTCTTAGGAATGAAAATTACCCATACATTGTAGAAAGATAATATTCAGGGTGGCCACATTTCCAGCAAACCAATAACTCAAGTTAGTTCTGTCATTCTTAGAACTAAGTTCCCTTAATGTAAAACCCATTGGGCCTCATCTGTTCTCTGGCTGCATAGAGCATTTTCTCATATTGCTCCTTAAGTAATGAACATTGCATATCCATTCATCAACATTAATAACGTTCCCTAGTTTGCTCACTCCATAACTCTTTTTAGAAATTTAGCCCTGCCTGGCGTAGCTCAGTGGATTGAGCGTGGGCTGTGAACCAAAGTGTCGCAGGTTCAATTCCCAGTCAGGGTACATGCCTGGTTGCAGGCCATGACCCCCAGCAACCGTACATTGATGTTTCTCCCTCTCTCTCTTTCTCCCTCCCTTCCCTCTCTAAAAAATAAATAAATAAAATCTTAAAAAAAATAAAATACCTTGAATAGGTAGAACTCTCAGGGGTAAAGGTGTGCCCCATTAGATAATATGTCTGATAAGCAAAATATCCTTAAAAAAAAGAAATTTAACTTAATTTCATTTTTAAAAATACCTTTTGTATTTCTAGAGAGAGAGGAAGGGAAGAAGAAACAGAGACAAACATCAAAGTGTGCTTGCCTCATAAATGCCCCTTACTGGGGACCTTGCCCACAAAGCAGGCCTGTGACCTGACTGGGAATCCAACAAGCAACCTTTTGGCTTGCATGCCAGTACTCAATCCACTGAGCCACACCAGTCATGGCTCCATTAACTCTTTAAGAGAAATAATCTCCAGTCCCCATGCAGAAAATGTCACTGCATTGACAAATGAAATTATGATCATTTCCATGCAAGGTGGAGAAATACAATAATCCAAAGCATCTTTCTCACATTCAGATGTCCACTTTTCCAAAACTTCGTGGATGGCAATCACAGCCATTTTTGTACAAGATGTACATTTTGTACTTAACCACTATTTCCAGGAACGTATTAATATTCACAGAAGTTAAAATGCATCTTACTTCAGAAAGTTCAGTGAGATTTTATATGAAAAACAATTATTTTTAGCACTGGCTGGTGTGACTCAGTGGATTGAGTGCCAGCCTCCAAACTGAATGGTCAGCAGTTCGATTCCCAGTTAGGGAATGCACCTGGGTTGCAGGGCAGTTCCCCAGTTGAAATTGTCAGAGGCAATTGATGGATGTTTCTCTGACACATGGGTGTTTCGCTCCCTCTTTCTGCCTCCCTTCCACTCTCTCTAAAAAAATAAATAAAATTTTAAATAATATAATTGTTTCCAGGAATTCGAACGCAAATACTGACTCCTTCTGCCGGCAGATGCTGCTGAGTAACCATCGTTGAAGTCTCCCTCCTGCAGTTGTTACATCTAAGTCAGAGTCTTCCTGAGAGCCCTAACAGCTAAAGAACCTCTTCATTGGAGGTTTAAGATTTGAAACATGTGGTGAGGGTCTAAAGAGCAATGTCGAGCAATGGCAAATGCTCACAAACTGTGTGATGAAAGATCCAAACACCAAGTGCTCCAGAGACTTGGGATTGTCACACATACCTCATTGGAGGATGTGGATGCAGCCAAGAACACACAGCCATATAGGTAGGTGGAAGAGTTGTGGAACCAAAGAGCCTTTTTCAGGAGAAAATTTCATAGCCCTGCTGAGGTTTGGCTCAGTGGATTGAGCTCTGGCCTGTGAATTGAAATGTTGCTGGTTTGATTCCTGTCAGGACACATCTGGATTGTGGACTAGATTCCCAGTTGGGGGCATGTTTGAGACAACAGATCAGTGTTTGTCTCCCTCTCTCACTACCTTACCCTCCCTCTAAAAATAAATCATTGAAATCATTTTAAAAATCATTTTCACAGACATAGTGCCCCTTAACTGTGATGTCTTTAGTAGATGGTATCAAAGAAGACACTGAAAAACATTAGCTAAGAGATCATTTTAACAATGTGGAGAAACTGAAGTGATTGAAGTCGTGACTGACCCAGGCAGTAGCAAAGAGAGGCTTTGCTTTTGTAACCTTTGATGACAGTGCCTGTGTAGACAAGGTTGTCATTTAGAAGAACCATACTCTGAGTAGGTAATATTCACCACAGTGCATAATATCCTAGCCTGTCATGCAAAAGATAAGTGAACGTGCAGAGAGACCTAGCCATGAATCACTGGGGTCTCATTAGTTCTGAACTGTGTGCACTAAGCTCAAAAAGGAGGCAGGCAAAATGCACCTAAGGTTCAACGTAGTTTCCCCTGGAGAGACCAATGCAAATGACAGACAGGGTTTCCATGAAGACTGTGAGGCAGATGTTAAACACTATTAAAATATCAGAAAAAAAAACACAGAAAATTCATGATAATTAAAATAATGAAAATAGCAGCTAGCTGAGTTTCTCCTGTCTCTGGCCCTGTTGTCCTCCTGTCTTATGCTGAGGGTCTAATATGCTATGGTAGATTGTGCCCAGCTCTGGAGCCAGACTCACATGTTTGAATCCAGCCACTTCAATCTGACAGTTGTCTGCCCTGTGACCTTGGGAAAACCCCTTCCTCTTCTCTATCCTATTTTCCCCAGAAATACATTAACAGTTACTAATTCCCAGGGTGCAGTTAGGATTAAAATAACAGTTTTGATCAAAACGCAAGCCCTGGATAATTTTTATTCAAGGATGAAGGCTGCTCTTTCTTAAAACTATTTTATTCTCTGGATTTTAGAGGGGAAGGAAGGGAGAAAGAGAGGGAGAGAAATGTTGAACTGCAAAAACATTCATTGTTTGCCTCTCCCACTCCCCTACCTTGGAAACTGGACCAAAACACAGGCATGTGCCCTGACCAGGAATTGAACTCGCAATCTTTTGGGTTGTGGGACAACATTCAACCCACTGTGCCACTCAATCCAGGGAAAGGGTATTTTTATCTCTATTTACACAGGAAAATACTGAGGACTATACAGTGAATCACTTTCCTATAATAACAACAATGGTCAATAATCTAAGATTTAAACCCAGGTTGCATGACCAAGATATGGGGAGTCTAATCACTGTTTTCTTGTCTTTGGCTTCCAGAAGGGCTTTCAGGCTCAACAAATACCCACTGATCCTCATACCACCTGGTACACCTTCAAGTCCTGCTGTAGCACAGTGAACCCCAGATGAAAGACCACAGAAAGGGCTGAAAACTTAGAAACAAAATTATTATATTACTTAATGACTGAATTTACAAAAGCAATGAAGTGTGTAAATAATACAGATTATTCTATAAAGTATATGATAACTACCTACACATTCTTTACAGCAAAAAATCCAAATAATTTGGATATGTTTTCCGCTAAAAACAATTTTTCCATAAAACAATTTTTCCATGAAATAAAAATTATTTGTTTTTCAAAGAGTGAAAATGGGTGACATGACAACATAGATCTTTGTTGTTTCACTCTCCTATTTTCTATGGAGAGTAGCCTAAAATTGTAAAACTATAGGTAAAGTATGTGAGCACAGAATATACTAAAAATATACCCGTTTTACATACACTCCTGAAAAATGCTCATCATAAACCCTTAGAAAAGTACCACTAGTACAATAAAAAGAACATGACAAATATATGAAAACAGCTAAAATTATAAAAAATAAACAAATCAACATTTTGTTAGAGTGGGGGAATGCAACCCTAATATGCTATAAGTATGAATGCATAAAGGCACAAGGAGTTTAGGTCATAATTTGTTAGGTACTTCAACATTTAAATATTAAATTTCTGAGACATACATCTCCACACTCTGAGCATATAAAATTAAACTCAGACATTTTCAGAAAGTTTTTTTCTGAAGTTTTTATAATTACACTGAAAAAAGAAAAAAAAAACATTTCCTACAATCTAACCTTTTACAAAGTGAGACCTCTCCAACATCAAAAGGCTAAAGACTTATGGCTAAAGATTTCCCACATTCACTTCATGCTTGAATCCTCTTACCAGTGTGAACTATGATTAACATGCCTATGGAAACGAGGTGAAAGATTTCCCACATTTCATGTCATCATAAAGGCTATCTCCTCTGCAAACTCTGATAAGAAAGGAGTTAGAATCAAAAACATTTTCCCACATTCCCTGTACTCATAAGGCTATTTACCACAGGAAACTGAGAATATAATGGAAGATTGTGGTATAAAAAATTTCTCACATTGCATATATAAAAAACCTTGTATCAGTGGAAATCACTGATACTAGAAAAACATTTCCCAAATTCACTGCAGGCATAAGGCCATTCTCCAGGGTAACTCTCTGATGACAACCAAGGAAATGCTACAGAAAAAGGATGTCCACTTTCACTGCACTCACAGCATTTCTCCAACATGCAGTCTCCAAGGAAAATGAAGGTTACTGATAAAACATGTCCCACATTCCCTGCAGACATAAAACTTTGCTACTGTGTGCGGTCTGATAACAATGATAGTTAATGAAATAGATAGAAGATTTCCCATTTTCACCACATTCATAAGTGCTTCTTTGGTGTGAACTCTTTGAGGGTAATGGAAGTGACTGGCACACATAAAGGATTTCCCCAATTAGTGCATTCATCAGTGCTTTATCCAGTGTGAACACTGTGATGAAAATGGAGGGCAGAGCTACTGGTACAAGATTCCCCATGTTCACTGCACTCATAAGGCATTTCTCCAGTGTGAACTTTCTCATGATGACGGAGCCCAGAGCGACTGGTGTAAGATTTTTCACATTTACCACACTTATAAGGCCTTACTCCAGTGTGAACTCTGTGATGATGACGGAGGGAAGAGCTATGGGCAAAAGATTTTTTGCATTCACTGCACTCATAAGGCCTTTCTCCAGTGTGAACTCTGTGATGTTTACGAAGCTCAGAGTTTTGGGTAAAAGATTTTCCGCATTCACTGCACTTATAAGGCTTTTCTTCTATATGAACTTTCTGATGGTGACGGAGGGAAGAGCTACAGGTAAAAGATTTTCTGCATTCACTGCACTCATAAGGCCTTTCTCCAGTGTGATCTCTGTGATGTTTTCGAAGGTAACAGATACGGGTAAAAGATTTACCACATTCACCACATTTATAAGGCCGTTCTCCCGTGTGAAAATTCTGATGATGACGGAGGTTAGAGCTTTGGGTAAAAGATTTCCCACATTCACCACACACATAAGGCCTTTTTCCAGTGTGAACTCTATGATGATACCGGAGGCCACAGCTACTGGTGAAAGATTTTCCACAGTCACCACACTTATAAGGCCTTTCTCCAGTGTGAACTCTCTGATGAGAATTAAAGTTAGCTTTTTGCTTAAACAATTTCCCACATTCACTGCACCCATAAGGCCTTTCTCCAGTGTGAAGTTTCTGATGATGGCTCAGACCAGAGTGACTGGTGTAAGATTTCCCACATTCACCACACTTATAAGGCCTTTCCCCAGTGTGAACTCTCTGATGTACACGGAGGGCAGGGCTACTGGTGAAAGATTTTCCACACTCACCACACTTAAAAGGCCTTTCTCCAGTGTGAACTCTCTGATGAACCTGGAGGGCAGAAATTCGGCTAAAAGACTTCACACATTCAGTGCATTCATAAGGCCTTTCTCCAGTGTGAACTCTATGATGAATACGGAGTGCAGAAATTGTGTTAAAAGACTTCCCACATTCACAGCACAAAAAAAACTGTTTTCTAGTAAGGAATCTCTGGTCAGCAAGTGTATCATCACAGTCAATGGCTTTCTTGTATTCTCTTGGGGTGTAACATTTTGTAGTTTGTAGAGAGATTTCATTTTCCCTGTGCATGGTGTAAGCAGACAGTTGTTCAAGATGTCTGGAGCTGAAGAGGAAGCATTTTCCATCCTGACTAGAGCTACGAGCCTTCCACAACACATGGGAATTGCAGCTCTTTCCAAGCGAGACCCTGTCCACACTGCTGATGAAACAATTCTTTGTCGTGTCCTGCTCCTGGAGCTGGTGACTCTGTGCACTGAAATAAAATGGTTTTGCACATGCCCCACACCTCAGCAGTGTTGGGGCCTGTTGGGTTCCCTGCTGGTCAATGGAGAAGAAAATTTGTCTCAAGACACACCCACAACTTTCACATGGGTGGTTCTTCTGGGAAGATAGTGCTGACTTCAGATTCATAGCCCTTGAGACTTTTACAGAAACATTCTCTTCAATGGGTGCCTCCCCCTCCTCTGCTCCACAGCAGCAACCTGAAGAAAAACAAACACTAGTAAAGTACATACTGACCTATAGGGAGCGGATTTTCTCATCACTGATTTGCATCAGTTACATCTGGCATGATTTTATATGATGATTTCCAAGACAAATCAGAGTCTCAAAAAAAGCCCCTCAGGGCTGTAATATGGGGAACTCATTAATTAAGAACACCAGGATACGGGGGAACCTAAGGAAGAGAAGCTGGCTTTAGAAGTTATCCCTGTCATGGGGATGCCTGCAAAATCCTTCCTGCTTGTGTTGGGAGGCTGTGTAGAGGATATGAATGTGCCCCAAACCATTAAAATCAACCACAGCAGAACAGATGCTGTGTTAGTTTTGTATAGAAATATGTGCACACTTCAAGGTGCTACAGGCATTGATCAAAATGAGAGAGCACACGAAAAAGACTCCTCACAGAAAGGGTTGTGGTATATAAGTTAGAGAGGCAGAGATGACCCATGGCTGGAAGTCAAGTGTATGAAGGAAAATTATTAAAAGTAACAAACAGCCCTGGCTGGTGTGGCTCAGAGGATTGAGTGCAGCCTGCAAAGCAAAGGGTCACTAGTTTGATCCCAGTCAGGGCACATGACCAGGTTGCAGGCCAGGTCCCCAGCCACAGGCACACAATAAGAAACCTCCCAGTGTCCCAGGTTCGATTCCCAACCAGGGTACATGCCTGGGTTGCAGGCCATAACCCCCAGCAACCTCACATTGATGTCTGTCTGTCTGCTTCTCTCTCTCTCTCTCTCTCCCTCCCTCCCTTCCCTCTCTAAAAATAAAGAAATAAAATCTTAAAAAAAAAAAAAAGAAACCTCCCATTGATGTTTCTCTCCCTCTCTTTCTCCTTCCCTTCCCCTCTTGATAAAATAAATATATGGGGGTTTTTTTGTTTGTTTGTTTGTTTGTTTTAAAAAACCACACAGACAAGGTGCCAACATGGGAAAAGTCAAGTTTAATTAAGTGTGGCCACTGGCAATGGTGAGGAATAAATTCAAAGAGAATAAGTTCCTCACTATGCTTTAACCAAGGCTTCGAATCAAATACTCCCTACCTCCCATACCCACTTGTGAGCCCATACTGTCATGGCTGGATGCCTGATCCTCTGTAATACACAAAGGAGTCTTCTACTTCCCTACCCAGTGAGCAATTATGTGGAATACAGATGATACAACTTCAAAGAGAAAGCAGAAGAGGTGAATAACCAACACTGTCATAGAACAATCTGCACCAAAAAAGCAAAAGTGAAAGATCTATGTGAGTGACCACGGCAAGATGGCAGAATAAAAAATACAAGATTCAACCCCCTTCAAGAATAATTAGACCTTTATCCATGATAAACAGTGTCCCTATAGGAAAGGGGAAGAAGCTTAAGAGACAAGTTATTTCAAAGAGGTACAAGTTGGAGCCTAATACAAAGAGCTATGGAAAAGAAAAGCACAAAAGACGCTCAGGAAACAGGTTTAGATTCAAAAGAAAAGGATAAGAACTTCTGGGAGGCACTGCACTTGCGCTACCATTGACTCTACTGGCCTGTTTCTGGCTACCAAAGGCTCTAAGAGGTCACTAAAAATTTGGAAAACCTCAGCCCTGGCCACTGAGGACCCCTTCAATCTTTACAACGCTGACCTTGGTCATGGGGCAGCAAGAAGAATGGAACGTGAAGCTTCTCATCAGCCCCAAACACAACACACCACCTAGCAACCACCCTTGTATGCATACGCAGATGAAACTACTCCTCTAAATAGAATTGGTTACGGAAATCCAAAAATGTAAGCCTTCATCAAATATCAGACATCAACACTCAGACAAAGGGAAATATGAAAAAAAAAAACACAAAAGAAACATCACAATGTTAAAGTGAATTAAGCCAAATTATGGAGATATATAAATTGACAAAAAATAATTCTAAAAATCATTTCTAAAAATTTCAATCAGGTACAAGTGAATACACATGGAACTCAACATAATGAACAAACATGGGAACAAAATTTGGGGATCAGTGAGAAAGAAATAAAAAGGATGAAAAAGAAATTTGAAGTTGGAGAATACAATGAATAAAATGAAAAATGCAAAAGAGTTTCAAAAGCAGATAAGATCGAGGACTAAAAAACGACATCACCTTAGAGGCAGATGATTTAAAATCCTCCATGTAAAAAAACACGTGAGGACAGCGCTGGTGAATTTTGGAACAAAATATAGATAACTTGTATTTGTATTATGGGAGTCCCATAGACGGGGCCAAAAGGAGAAAATGAGAGATAGGTAAACATGGGGGGAAAGAGAAGCATACAAAATTGGTTTTAAAAAATAAACTACAGATTGACTTCAAAATATGAAAAAGAAACCTGAGATTTCTGGCCAAGATGGAGGTGTAGGTAGAAACATTTCACTTACTCGCACAACCAAAAAGAGGATAACAACCAATCTAAAATCAATAAACAACCAAAAGCACCAAAAAATCACTGCATGGAACTCTGATGACCAAGGAATTAAAGAAAAAATCAGCTAGAACAACCAGACCAGTGAGGTGGTGGACCGCAGGCTGACTCAGAAAAACCAGGGCAATGTGGCAGACCTTAGGGACAGGGTTGGCTGCCTACCTCCTAGGGCTGTGCAGGCGGGGTTGACTTAAGGGGAAACCTGAGGCTCAGAGGTGGCTTCGGACTACTCAGAGGTGGGAGAAACTCCCAGTCTCACAGGAGAGTCCCTTGGAAAGGGTGCTAGAGAGGAGCAGGCAGGTGAGCTGCATCGTTCCCTCTCTGGCCCAGCAACAAAGCACAGCAAGGAAGTTTGCCCTGACAGCGGGGAATACCTAAGGCCCCACCCTCTTACAACTTATCAGCTGTGCCAAGACAAAGAAATAAGGCCCAAATGAAAGAACAGAGCAAAACCTCAGAACTAAGCAATGAGGAGATTGCCAACCTATGTGATGGAGAATTTAAAGCCCTGGAAATGAAAATGCTCACAGAAGTGATTAAGCTTGGTCAAAAAATGGAAAAAAAAAAAAGCAACAAATGAATGATACTCAAAGTAAAATAAAGCAAAATATTCAGGGAACCAACAGTGACAGTAAGGAAACCAGGAGTCAAAGCAACAATTTGGAACAAAAGGAAAAAAACATTCAACCGAAACAAAATGAAGAAACAAGAATTTTAAAAAGTGAAGAGATTCTTACAAACCTCTGGGACAACCTGAAACATTCCAATAACCAAATTATAGGGGTGCCAGAAAGAGAAGAGGAAGACCAAGAAACTGAAAACTTATTTGAACAAATAACGAAAAACTTCCCCAATCTGGCAAAGGTAATAGACTTCCAGGAAGCCCAGAGAATCCCAAAGAAGTTGGACTCAAAGAGAAACACACCAAGACACATCATTATTAAGTTACCCAAGATTAAATATAGAGAATCCTAAAAGAAGCAAGACGAAAGGAGGGAATTATCTACAAAGGAGTGCCCATAAGTCTATTGCCTGATTTCTCAAAAGACCATTGCAGGCAAGAAGGGGCTGGAAAGAAGTAGCTGAAGTCATGAAAGGCAAGGACCTACATTCAAGATGACTATCCAGGAAAACTTTCATTTAGAATGGAAGGGCAGATAAAGTGCTTCCTGTAGAAGGTCAGATTAAAGGAGTTCATCATCACCAAGCCATTATTATATGAAATGTTAAAGGGACTTATCTAAGAAAAAGAAGATAAAAAATATGAAAAGTAAAATGAAAACAAACTCGTAACTATCAACTGAACCTATAAGAAAAGAAAAACAAAGAAAACAAAAACTAAGCAAACAACCAGAACAGGAACAAAATCAGGGAAATGGACATCACATGGAGGAATTTCAGTGGGGAGCAGGACGGGAGAAATGTGGGGAAGGTACAGGGAAGAAGAAGCATGGTTAGCAGGCATAAAATAGATGGGGAGAGATATAAAAGGGGGGTATAGGAAACAGAGGACTCAAATACTTAATAGGTATAACCCATGGACATGAACTAAAGTGGGGGAATTCTGGAGGGTTAGTGGGGCAGGTAGGATGGGGGGAAAAGTGGGAAAATTGGGAAAATTGTAATAGTATAATAAAAAATACTTTTAAAAAAAAGAAATTTGAACAGCCATGTTTAACATTCTCCCAGGTCCCTGTACACATTCAATACAAACAGGATTTCAGCACAACATATTATAATAAAAGTGTCAAAAATAAGAGTGAAAAAAATTTTTGAAAGACCGGAGACCACAATAGAAACTCCTCTCGTAAGGACAACACTCCCATAAGGCAGCAATATTTTTCTCTGAAGAAACCTTGCAGACTTGGAGAATGTCAAATGATATATTCAAAACACTAAAAAAAAAATCTGCAAAGCACAATGCTTTATTTTAAAAACCTCATCCTCACTTTAACAAACAAAAAAACTTTCCCAGACACAAAAGATGAAGACGTTAACTTCCACTCATCCTGACTTATTACAAATGCCAGGGGGGAAAAAAAGATCTTTGAGCTGAAATAAATGCATACTACACAGAAGCAGGAAACCGTGGGAAAATGTAAAACTCTCTGGTAAAGCCAGGATGTCATCAGGGTCACAATACTAAGACAGTCCATATGTGGATATACTTTATTGAACTCTATTGTACAGGACAAATAAAGTAGATTAAGAATAACAATGGTGACAATATTTGTGAATAGGTATCTAGAAAGAGGTGAACTATGAAATCAAAACATGTAAAGGGGTAGTGTGGCAGAGAATCACAGGGTAGAATTTTTTGAGTGCAGGGAAGCTGTTTTCAGGGTACAATGAACTATTAAGAAAATGAGTTACATGTAAGTCTAATAAAAAACAAACCACAACCACAATCCTGTGAAATGGATATACAAAAGAGAAAGGAATGATCTCAAAACAAAAAAACAAAACAAAACAAAACCCAACCCCAAAAAAGAACTGCTGGTGTGGCTCAGTGGATTGAGTGCCAGTCAGGGCACATGCCTGTGTTGTGGCCCAGGTCCTCAGCTGGGAGCATATGAGAGGCAACCACACACTGAGGTTTCTCCTTCTCTTTCCCCCTCCATTCCCCTCTCTCTAAAAATAAATTAGTAAAATCTTTTAAAAAAGAAAAGGAAAAATAAAAATAATACAGCAAAATGGGAAGGCAAAAGAAACTACAAAAAAGGCAGAAAACACGACAATGTGGCAACACCTTTTGAAGATATGAGTGAGTGAAGGGATAAAAAACACAAGACACAAAAGCATTTGAGATATTGCATCCTGTCCATTGTCACCAGTTTGGCTCAAATGAACACATAAAAATTCTCATGATGGGTGAAAAAGGTAAAGGGATTAAAAAGTACAAACTGGCAATTACAGAACACTCAACTGGATGTAAAGTACAGTCTAGGAAACAGAGTCAATAACATTCTACTGATTATGTATGGTGTTAGATGGAATCAGATTTATGGAGATGATCAGTTAGTAAGTTATACAATGTCTAATCATGAAACTAATATTATAATGTATGTCAGCTGTCTTTAAAAATAAGAAAAAATAGAGTAAATAAACACATGAATAAATAAATTAATTAAGGATTAGTTGGGATTACCTTGTGTCCCCCCAAAAAAGTCTCCAAAACACAACATATGCTGCTTCCACGAGACTCACTAAATCTTTATGGACACAAATACACTGAAAATAAAGAGATATAAAAAACATTCCATGCAAATAACACCAAAGAGAGTGGGGAGGACAACAACTGTAAATTCTACATGCCCAACAGTAGAGCACCTAAGTACATAAGCAAACAATATGAGATCTGAAAGGGGAAAACTCAAGCCAACACTACTAGACAACTTGGATATTCGCCTTCCAACAATGGGTAGATCATCCATTTTGAAAGCAATAAGGAATTATTGCAGTTTGAAAACACTGTTGAGGAAACAGAGTTGATAAATGTATGCATAGCATTTTATCCACCCCTGGCCAAGTGGCTCTGTTAGTTAGAGCATTGTCTCACATACACCAAAAGGTTGCAGGTTTGATTCCTGGTCAGGGCACAAACATAGGTTACAGGTTTGATCCCCTCCTATAGGCACGTATAGGAGGAAACCGATCCATGCTACTCTCACATTGATATTTCTCCTTCTCCCTCCCTTCTTTCTCTAACAATCCATACAAATATTTTGCAGAGTGTACAAAAAATATAGACACTTGTAGAAATGTTTGAGAATATAAAAAATGCTTTTCCTTACTAATCAATGTGAAATCTATTTGGCTTCTGACAATACTACTGAGGTCAAATCCTTCCCTATGAGGGTTCTGTACAGCATGTATGGGGGCAGCAGGGAGAGTAGGGAGCAATGCAAGCAAACCAGCCCTGCCAGTCCAGGATCCACCCAGAACACTGGGGAAGTGAATAGTGCCTGCAATTCACATAGGAGGATGGAGCAACCCCTGAGGAATGAAGGGTACAGGGGACATGCAAAGCCTAGTCCAGGTCACTGGTGAGATGGAGAGTGCTTTTTTAAAAAACTGTGAGTTAGTTTATTAAAATATGGAGCAATGAACAACAACAACTAAAAGAAAATACTCCTGCAGACATGGTCAGGGGCCAGCCTAAGACCAGATGCTGCTGTCCATCTCTCTCTGAGTATGTGAGACTGGTCAGGATCCTTACAGCTTAGGATAGAAAAAGCAAGGTGCAACCCTGAGGAAGGGGTGTGCAGGCAAGGCAAAGAAAAGTGCACAGGGAGAGTTGGTGTCTTACCCAGCGATGATATAAGAGTATAGTTCTCCTGCATCACATCAAAGTATAGGCGTCTCTGAGCCTCATCCAGAAGGAACCATTCTGTCCTGGAGAGATACACGGCAACATCCTCAAAGGTCACACCAACCTATCAAAATTAACACAAATGAATCTGGAATAATCTCTCTGAGACCCCTTTTCCTACTGTTCCCCACACTGAACTCCTTTGAAGGGCCCTCCATTCAGAGCAGACACCAGTGCTTGGTGTCAGAACTGCCTGCTATCCGTCTCATTATCACTCACATCGCCCTCAGCAAAGGCAGGCAGGATAAGAGAAAGTGGGGCAGATGAATACCATCTAATCTAAGGTCCATACCTGCAGGGCCACATTCCTGCTAAACAAGTCCATTGAGTCTCCCAGATCATGCCTCTAAAACACAATCATACATGGTCTTAGGCTTCACCCTGAATTCCAAACACCAAGAACCCAGGGCCATCAGCTAGCACTTCCTGTAGTTGTGCACACACTGTGTGATCTTTCCCTGCTTCATATCTTCTAACCCAGTTCACTCTCTCACCTCTGCCCCCTTCACTCTCCTGCATAAAAGAGACTCCACTTTTGCGTGACTCCATCCTCGACCCTTCCACAGGTTTCAGACCTATGTGTTAGCTGCTCACAAGATGTTTCCACATAGTCTTTGTAACTGATAAAAAAGTGTGAAACAAAAGAACCTTCTGATATTGCCAAAAGGAATTAACCTACCACCATCTTCCCCAGTCCAGTGGAGGGAGCCTCCACTGCTTCAGCTGCTAAAACCAAAAAACGCTGGGGTGGTTTTGAACCCTTTCCTTTCTTCCTGCAACTACAAAATCTTAAAGTATACTTTTTTAAAAATGTAAAGGGGATGGGGGTGTTGAAGGTGGAAGAAGGTATGAGGGAGATAAATGGTAATGAGAAAAAAATACTATAAAAATATCAAAGGATGGATCAAGAATCCAACCTTTTGTCCCACCCTTGAGGCCCAATGCAGGTCCATCAGCTCTCCTCTGGATCATAGAACTCCCCAGGTCCAGGGCCCCCTGCCTCCTCCATTAACCCCCATACTCTGTTCTCCACTAGGCAGCCAGAGGAAGACTGTTTAACCCAGGAGAGACCAACTTCTTTTTCTTATGCAAATACTCCATGATCTCCTTAACAGATACCTTAATTATCAATTGGTCACTTTACAAGTCTGATCTTTGAATCCTTTGTGCCTTGTGTTTAATACAAACAAAGGAAACCTGAGGTACCTATTCCCAGCTCTAGTAGCATCTCCAAGCATTAGTAGGTGCAGGTGTCCCTTCCTGGATAACCTGCCTTCGATGCTTACAGTGGCTGTCTGTGTGGACAAAACAATGACGCAGGAGATACAATAAACCTGACCAGCTTAGAGGAGTCCTCCCAGATGGCCTTACACACTGAGAGTGAAAAGACCCCTACATATGGTCTGAAATTAAAACTTTCTAACTAAAGCAAGTCATAGCAAGTACTCATGTCCTAGGCCTCTATGTCCCCTAAGGAAAGTCAACTTGGACCTTAACTGAGCCAATCTTTGTACTTTTGCACCTTTGGAATGTCAGGAAATTTCGTTTTTTCTTACCCCTCATGGCACAAGCACTGCATGAGAGCTGAGACCAAAAATCCCCAGTTATTGTGTTCATTCATTAAATGTTAAATATCTTACACCCAGTAATGTAAAAGAATTGTGTCCATTCATTTTTATCTTTTATATAATATCAAACATTTTCCTGCTTTGTTTTCTCCCACCTACCTAACCGAAAACCAATGAATTCCAGGTTGCCAACTAACACATCTTTTTTTACTGTGATGTATAAAATAAGTGGTAAAACTGACATTTTCTGAAGTATTTTCACACTCTGCTGATTTTTTTCCCTGGAAATCATCCCTAGTATGGCTCAAATAAACATTTTTAAAAGTCTACCGCTTGAATGTTTTTTACATTCACACCAGAAATTGGAGCACCTTGATAGATAGTACTGGAGCCTGCACTCAGAATTAGGGAATCCCCAGGGTCTCCTCATTTGAAAGCTGAAAAATTACTGAGGGAAGAATCTTTAAACACTACACAGTAATGTCACCACCAGGTAGGGACTGGGCCACCCTTTCCTTCTTATTCTAACTTGGTAATAATTTTCAACTTTAGAACCTGTGGGAAGAAGCAATCAACCACCCTCAGCTGCTGTTAAGCAGGTCTGTATCTCAGCCCAGCCCCAGAGTCTGGTGAAGTCCCAAGTTCCTCCCAAGTGCAGTGGCTTACCTGCTCGGTGTAACCTTGGACAAGGGCTCCCCTTCCTGTGCCTCAATGTCCTCATCACCCCAGTCCAGCTGGTTTTCTATCTCAGAAGAATCTAAACAGCTTTCAAAGCCATGACACAGCCTGTATCTCTCTGTCCACGACCATCCCGGACTCCCAGGACCATTAGAATGAAGGTGCAACCCCTCTGCCTCCCAGTCAGGACGTGGCTCCGCCTCAGACTGTTTAAAGCAGATGTAAGGCCCGGCAAGGCCAGATGTGCGGGTCTTTCGGGATCAATGACACCTGCCCATGTTTAGAAGGCGGCACCTCGGCCGGCCACCCACGCCAACCCCGTCACAGCGTGTCACCCACAAGCGCCTCAGATTCCGGATGCCGGGGCCGGGGCCGGGGCTGCAGGACGTGACGGGCGCCCCGCACCCGGGCTGCAGGGCTCGGTGGGCTGAGGGCGGAGGGTCCGGGCTCGCTCACTCACCTCAGCCGGGCGCCTCGGCTGGGTCGCCATCGGAATTTGTGGCAAAAAAGTGGCGGGAGCGGCGGGCGAGGAGGGTGTCCCTGGTACTTGGGTTTCTGTCCCGACGCTGACGCCGGACACCCGGGCAGCGTGCTTGGTCTCACAGCTCCGTGGGGAGCAGCACCCTGGCGCCTTCTCCATTGGATCTTGTGACCACGAGACCCTGACCGGGTAATAAGGAAACTGAGAGAAGAGGAAATGTCCGCCAGGACACTGAGGGAAGTCCCGCCCTACAGCGGTGATCAAACGGAAATGCCTTTTCGGGAGACTGCAAGGACTCAGCCTTGCCCGCCTTCTGGGTAATGTAGGTTTTAACGTCCACGGCTGGGGTCTGGACTCCAAGGCCAGGAGCCTGTATTTCCCGAGCTGACTCCAGGAGTGGATTTGCAGGTTTACAGCCCAAGAATACCCTGAGAAAACGAAATCCGCCCTTTAGCCGCCCGGATGGACTTAATTTCTTGGGAGATGTGTCTGGTATGCCGGCTGTATCTTTGATTCAGGCCGTGGAGCATGTTTCTCCTTCAGGCGTAATGTTGTTGGCATACTTTGCTCTAGTCCCTAATGCTCTCTATCCTGCATCAGGAGGACCCACGATGCAAATTAAATTAATAAATAATACACTAATACTTAAGTGCATCTGTGCTTCGTGCAGCGAGAAGTCTTATCTCTGCCTGGGCAGTAGTAGTGTGACTGGATTCCTCACTGATTTTATCAGATGCCTCTAACTTGAATTACACATTTTTTTCAAACAATGGAGTACATGCTGAGCTCATCAAAGACATGCAGTTACAGGAATTCAGCCCAGAAAGTGGATGTAAAGTTCCAGACCAACCAACTGAATACTAATAAAGCTAGGGACACTGATTTGTTTGTTCCTAAGTGCAAATTGTAGTCTATTAAATATGCACTAACACTAGGTGAAAAATAATAATGTACATAAATTTACTTTTTGAAAGATTTTATTTATTTTTATTTTTAAAACACTTTATTTATTTATTTATTTCTAGAGTTAGGGGGAGAGAAATAGGGAAACATCAATGTGTGGTTGCCTCTGGTATCATGTACTGGGGATGTGGCAGGCATCCCAGGCATGTGCCCTGACTTGGAATCCAACCCATGACTGTTTGTTTCGAAGGCTGGCACTTAAGCCACTGAGCCACACCAGCCAGGGCTATTTATTTATTTTCAGAAAGAGGGGAAGGGAGGGAGAGAAACATCAATGTGGAAGAGAAACATCACTGGGTTGCCTCTCACACACCCCTGACTGGAGAGTTGGCCTGCAGCCCAGGCATGTCCAGGTCAAGGAAGTGAACCAGCAACCTTTTGGTCCACAGGCCTGCATTCAATTCACTGAGCCACACCAGCCAGGACAGGGGGTTTTCTCATCACAGATGTGCATCTGTAACATCAGCGCATAATTCCATGTGACAAATTTCAAGAAACTGAGAGTCTGAATGACACCACTCTAAGAGGTGGTTGCATATTACTTGGCCACTAATGACTGTAAATAATGGGCACCTCATTAAACAAAGGCCACTAGGATTGGATGTGACACAAGAAAGAGAGGAGGGTTCAGAAGTTGTCCTTCTGCTGATGGCTGCCTACAAAAGCCTTCCTGCTGTTGATGTCAGACTGTGTAGAGGATATGAACGTGTCCCAAACCATGAAAGTCAACCGCAACACCTCAGATGCTGTGCAAGGTTCATATAGAACCATGCACATACTTCAAAGAGATACAGTCATTGACCAAAGTTGGAGAGCACACCAAAAAGACTCCTCAAAATAATGGTTGTGGTGTAGAGGTTAGAGGCAGAGTTTAGCCCTGGATGGATATCAGATTAGAAAATTACTCCTATTAAAACTAACAAATAGGATCTGGATGGTGTGGCTCAGTGGATTGAGTGCAGGCCTGCGAACCAAAGAGTCCCAGGCTCAATTCCCACTCTAGGGCACATGCCTGGGTTGCTGGCCAGGTTCCCAGTAGAGTGCATGCAAAAGGCAACAACACACTGATATTTCCCTCTCTTTCTCCCTCCCATCCCCTCATTCTAAAAACAATTAAGTGCAATCTTAAAAAACAAAAAACAAAAACTAACGAATTAGCTAAGTGCCAACACTGGGAAGGGACCAATTCATTAAGGTGTGGCCACTGGTAAAGGTAATAAAATTAAAAGTTAAAGAGAACAGGCTCCTCATTATGTTTTAAAAAGCCCTGACATCAAATGCTCCCCAATGCCACTCACAAACACCAGACCTTCTGTGAACCCATCCTGTCATGACTGGATTCATGTCCCTCTTGTAATACACATATGACTCTTCCAATTCTCTCCCAGTTAAGCAATTGCATGAAATACTGATGACTGAACTCTTAATAAGAGAGAAAACAAGAGATGAAAAACAAACACTATCATAACACTACTTAGCACAAACAGACCAGAGGAAAACCATCTATGTGATGAAGAATAATGGCATACTAAATAAATACAAATATTCAACCCCTTTCCAAAATAATTAGACAATTATTCATGATAAAAAGCATCCCTAGAGCCCTAGCTGGTGTGGCTCAGTGGACTGAGTGCTGGACTATGAAGCCAAAAGTTGCTGGTTCGATTCCCAGTCAGGGCACATGCCTGGGTTATGGACCAAGTCCCCAGGAGGAGGTGCACAAGAAGTAACCACACACTGATATTTCTTTCCCTTTCTTTCTCCTTCCCTTTCCCTTTCTTTCTCCTTCCCTTTCCCTCTCTCTAAAAATAAATAAATAAAATCTTTTAAGAAAAGCATCCCTAGAGGAATGGGGGAAATGGCTAACAGACCATTTTTTTTTAAAAAAAGCCATAAGTGGATTATAAAAGGACTAAACAGAAAGAATTGCAGGGTGGACTGGCTTAGCAAAGATGGTTCAATTCAAAAGACAAGGGTGCAAGTTTCCACACCAAGCCACTGTGCATGTGCTACCCTAGACTCTAGATGCTTGTCGTGTGAATGACCATAGCAACCACTGTGTCTGAGAATTTCAGGATTCTCAGTAATATCTGCAACTTCCCACAAGTTTCATCTCAAAGTAACCTGCAGAGTTTGTCAACAAGGATATGAAAAGGAATACCCTTGGCTACAACATCATTTATGAAGGATATCCCCAGCAATATTTACCATCAAAGACACCAAAACAGGTCACATAATATTTGGACATCAGCTCCCCCCACTAGGGCCCTTATAATCTTCAGATCTCTGACTTCAGCTCTTGGGGCAGCAAGAAGAATATCAATTGAAACTTATATTCAGCTCAGAACACATCAGCTAACTAGCACTCTTCTATCCATATGGAGATAAAACTACTTCTCGCCACAGCTGGTGTGGATCAGTGTGTTAAGCACCATATCTGAATCCTGGTCCATGCTTGGGTTGTGGGCCAGATCACCATGGGGTGTGTGCAAGAGGCAACCAATCAATAATTCTCTTGCACATCAATGTTTCTCTCCCTGTTTCTCCCTGCTGACCCCTCTCTAAAGAAGAAATAAAATAACCTAAAAAAAGTTTACGGATAAAAACAGCTTGAAAATAAAGCAATGTAAAACATATTCCATACAGACAAAAACAAAGACAGCAGGACAAGCTAAAATTGTATCACACAAGAAGACAACCTCACACACTGTCACAAGAGAAAAGGGTGATCATCAAATGAAAAAGGAGTCAATTCATCAAGAGGATAAAAATTTTCATTACTATGCATCCAACCACAGACATCTAAGTATATTAAGAAAACAATATAAGATCTGAAGTCAGAAAATGCAACACAACAATAGCAAACAACTCAAATATTCACCTATCAAAAATAGGGAGATAGTAAGCAATAAAGAACTAATGAGACTTCTGCTCAAGATGGAGTCATAGGTATACATGCCTTGCCTCTCAGGCAACCACAGAAAGAATTACAACTCTATCTCAAAACAATAAAAACCTCAACTGTCAGGAAATCAAGCTGTAATTAAGTACAACAAGCAAGGATTTAAAGAAGCCACATTCATCCCAACAGGTGCCTTTTACAGGGATTCAAAGCAGTGTCACCTAATACACAGAAACACACACAGGGAGGCTGCAAAATTGAGAAGAAACAAAGAATTATGGCCCAAGTGAAAGAACAGAACAAAACCCCAGAAAAACAACTAAATGAAATGGAAATAACCAACCTGGCAGATGCAGACTTCAATACATTGCTAATCAGGATGCTAAAGAACTCATTGAGTACAGCAACAACATAAAGAAAGAGATGATGGCTACACTAAGTGAAATCAAGAAAAGTCAACAGGGAAGCAACAGTGCAGGAAAGAGAGCCGGGATTCAAGTCAAGGATTTGGACACAAGGAAGAAATAAATATCCAACCAGAACATGAAAAAGAAACAAGAATTCAAAAGAACAAAGAGAGTATAAGAAGTCTCTAAGACAACTCCAAACAGGCAAACATCCAACTAATAGGGATGCCCAAAGGAGAAGAGAAAGAGCAAGAAAGTGAAAAATCAGTTGAGACCCTCCACAGGAGGCCTATATACCGCTGCAGCCATGTCTCTAGTGATTCCTGAGAAATTCCAACACAGCTTGTGAATACTCAACACCTATACTGATGCACGATGGAAAATAGCCTTTGCCATCACTGCAATTAAAGGTGTGGGGTGAAGATATGCTCATGTGGGGTTGAGGGAAGCAGACATCAACCTCACCAAGAGGGCAGGAGAGCTCATAGAGGATGAGGTGGATGGATGATTACCATTATGCAGAACCCACCTTAGTACAAGATTCCAGACTGGTTCTTGAACATACAGAAGAGTGTAAAGGATGGAAAATACAGCCAGGTCCTGAACAATGGTCTGGACAATAAGCTCCAATGAAGACCCAGAGCAGCTGAGAAAATTCAGCCCACAGAGGGTTGCGCTACTTCTGGGGTCTTTGTGTTTGAGACCAACACACCAAGACCACAAGCTGCTGGGGTCGTACTGTGGGTGTACCCAAGAAGAAATAAGTCTACAGGCCTTGACTGTTAATAAATAGTACACACACACACACACACACACACACACACGTGAAAATTTATTTGAAAAGATAATAAAAGAAAACATCCTTAGTTTGGTGAAGGCAATAGACATAGAAATCCAGGAAGTACATGGAGTCCCAAACAAGTT